AGGTTTCGCCCGCAATTAGGCTGTGGTATGACAGAATTGAACTGATCCGTCCTTTTGTTGTTATACGAAGGTCCCTGTTTTCTGGTCAGTTTCAGATTCGACTGGTGAGAATCGCGTCCCAACTCCTGTAGCAGTCTCCAGCAACAATCGTCAGTAGGAGTGATACAAGGGACAGTTTATTGTAATGGAATTATAGTAACACGGAAAAATGGAGTTACAAGGGTGTTGCAGATTCCTTGATTAGCGTTAGTCGAGGGACGTCTCTTTGACAGAATAATTCTGATCAGTATCTGGCTGAACCAGGGAAGTGTAGAGCTGGAGACTGCTACAGGGGTTGGGACACGATTCTCACCAGTCGAATCTGAAACTGACCAGAAAACAGAGACCTTCGTAAAACAACAAAAGGACGGCTGTTTTCTGGTCAGTTTCAGATTCGACTGGTGAGAATCGCGTCCCAACCCCTGTAGCAGTCTCCAGCTCTACACTTCCCCTGGTTCAGCCAGATACTGGCCAGAATTATTCTGTCAAAGAGACGTCCCTTGACTAACGCTAATCAAGGAATCTGCAACACCCTTGTAACTCCATTCTTCCGTGTTACTATTATTCCATTACAATAAACTGTTCCCTGTATCACTCCTGCTGACGATTGTTGCTGGATTACTGTGTTACCATGTCGTCTGGGACACGTGATCAATCCATTGACGAGTCCTTCTCAGTTGGTCGTCGTGCGAAGGCACCGACGATCTGAAGCCCATAAAGGACGAGGACAAGCTGGGTATTACAGGCTGGGCTGTTCATCGCTCCGAAGAGCGCCTATTTAGAGGTAAGACCGAATCAAAATTGGTTATCCCTCCCGCAAAGTCGAATGCTGTAAATGATTTTAAAAGTGAATTGTGACAATAATTGCATCCGTATTCCCTGTGTGTTTCTATTCTTCTTGAGATGTATTTAAACGTCCCATGCTCAGTGACAGCTACAGGTAATATTATTAACAGCTACATTACCACAAAAAATATTTTATGGAGTTGTCTGTACATCCACCTCCTAGGCACAGCATGTACTATTCCTATAGGACAGATGCATGTGTAAGCAAAATAAGGCTCTAGGCCAATCGAGGCCGAAAATCCGAGTGCAGTAATCTGACGTTAAATTCGTCGGGCTCTGTACATCGATAGGATTGACAGAAATATCAGGAGTGTGATTTGCAGTGGCGACGGTCCTCACTGTTTTCGTCATTTCAATGACGTGTACGCTCGCATCCAATCCATCTGGGTCACTCCTCGGCGATAGTATACGTAACTTCTAAGGGACCTCTCTGAGAGGCTGCATTGCGTCTTTTCATGAGCGGGGAGGGCTGTATGTGGTCCATAATGTGTCATATAAATGGCACGGTCTTAACGCCTTAAAGCAAATCTCACCGGTATGTCGGAACCGAAAAAACGGCCGTTACGAAGGGCTTGACTAGCATATCTAGGGCTTGCCACAATTTTATTTTTGTCTTTCGAAACACTAGCATAATATCGATAGCTAGACCGATTACAACCTCGTCTCCACTTAACAGAGTTCTGCGTTTGTCAATAAATATTTTCATCGGATTCCCCTGTCCTGTGCTGACGTAATATCTACTGCCAATGCACTTCACTTGCAAACAATACGATGCTCCTAACGGTGTACGCGCGCCGGTGGAAACGTCGGGAACAACTGCTCTTAACGTTCACAGAAGACCGCTGACACTAGTGTGGGCTACGTAAAGTTGTGTGGCCCAT